TTTTTTTATCAAACATGGAATCTTCCAACCGCCAACAACAACAAGAACAAAATAAGAAAAGGGTATCTTCAATTACGAAAAAAACAAAAAGGAAGTCGAAAACGTCTAACATTCTCGAAAAATTTAATCTGCTGGGTGCGTTCGCATGGTTAAATTTATCTACTATGGAGAAAGACAAACCATATTTAATGACTGATATGAAACGACACACGACAAAGTTTGGTGATAGGTTGATGGTGGAATTAGACAACAGCAACAAACTCTACCTTTCGGAACGTTATAATTCACTAACAGACAGACAAGTTGCAGAACTAGGCAGCGGAAAATATCTGTTATTAAATAGAGGAACAAAAGGACAAAGTTATATGCTGGAAGTCATCTTGAAAGCAGAATTCGATAAAATATCGCTTATCGAACAATTAACAACAACAGTTCCACCACCACAACCACAACAACAACAACAACAACATCAACCCTCATCATCATCTGTACAAAAATCAACGGTAGTTTTACCAACAGTAAACACTATTGAAATGTTAGCACCGTCACCATCAAGTCAAGTGACCACAATTGATGATGAAGATGATGATGATGTTGATCCCAATTCAGCAGTATTAAATTTCTATTCACAAAAACCTTTTCTAGGTTTTTAGAGGAAAAAAGCAATGTAAGTAATATACTATTATTTATTAATTTCTGTGTCTACTTAACTATAAAATTATTATATTTTCTTAAATATTCTTAAATATAAACATATTAATTTTTTCATTTTCCTTTCAATTATAGTTCTATTAACACAACCACATGTATCCGGTCCGTCTGTGACTTCATTACTCGACCAAGGACAATGGCTATCGTGCCATCCATACTTGGACAACTTCATTTCTTGAAAACGAAGAAATTCTTCTTTGTGTTCGTGTAAGATTTGATCATAAGAAAATTTTCAACATTCATCATGAATACTATTTCACGAAGAAACATCGACATGTGGTGTAATTACTAGTATTTAAATATTATTACAAAGACTTCTCATTTAAATAAAAGTTATAAGTATCTCTATCTTTTTTCTTTTTGTCTTAATTTTTGTTTCGTTTTACAGTAATCAAAGTTAAATAAATGCTATATCACTCTTATTTTCTATCTCTTTTTTCTTCCTCCGTGCCTTAATCGAGCGTGCCTTAATGCGCGACGACCCCCCACCACCGCAGAGGAGGCGTGCCTTAAAGAAGAAACAGACGAACCAGAAACTAGAACACATAGAAAACGCCCACGAAACCCCACCAAAACACAAAAATACACCCACTTTACCAATTAAACACGATTATTCCCCACCAAAAATTATAAACTACACCCACTTTACCTCCCACTTACGACAAATCCCCACTTTTTTAGACCACCACCAACAAAAAACACGCCCCCGACCGGAGCCACGCCCCGTGCCTGACACGCCTTGCGTGCCTAAAGTGGTCCAGAACATACATATCTATACTACTTCTATTTTTTAAGTGCTATTCAAAAACAATTTTCCACTGACTGTTAATTTTTTTGCTAACGTTGCTAAAGGCATGTTGGACCGCCAATGGTGGGAGAGAAAAATACGTTTCTCTTCAGTATAAATAAGTGTTCGAGTTCATCACAGCCATCATCTTTAGCACCCACATGGTACCAAAAACCTTCGCAGCAGCAGCACCGGTCACAGTGTATGTACCGACAACTATTACTATCTATTTATTTTTTATATTATTATTATAGTACTACAATGAGTCAGAGCCTGAAAAATATCGATGCCTTTACCAGCGAGAGCATTGGCAAAATTGAATTGGTGAGTAGATTAGTTAAAACAAAAGAAGAAGGTAAAAAAATATTCAGTATTTGAAAAGAACTATTTCAGTGGTAAAGAATTGTATTAAAATCAAATCTAGTTATGTAAATAGGTTTTCAAAAGTCCAATCAAATTTAACCATATTAAAAAAATATGATGGAAATTGCAAACTCAAATTAAACACGGCAAAGAATGGAAAGCCAAAAAATGTACTTTGGCAAGACATTGATTATTGTTTTAGTGGTAGAATTAAACCTGGAATTATAACAAATTTAAAAATTAAAGATCCAAAAGAATTTGTAACAAAATCATTTAGAAGCTTTTTAATAAAAATTAGAAGAGAACTAAACAACTCTTCATTGAAAGCGAATGTAGTTTTTGCTGGATTATTTATAAAACCCCAAACGGCTGAAACTTTTTAAAATTTGTTTCAACAAAAACCGACTAATAGATCATGATATCAATCTAAAGGATTGGCATAAAACATATGTTATTCACAAAATGCTAACAAAATTGAAGGTATCAATATTTTGTAAAAAACGAAATTTTACCATTATCACTTAGTAAAAGAGATTTTTCACCTCGAATTAACTTATTGATATGAGGAACGTATCAGTGGTGGAGTAGTAGTAGTTTGTAGTAGTGATAACGAAATAGATTGAGGTGGTTATGATGAAAATCATATTAGTAAGTACAATTCAAATAAAACTTTATCATTATGCCTAGGTATAAAATTGTACTGTGAAATTTGTTTAAATCATTTTAATTCTCCATCTATCTTAGACAAGCATTTAGTTAACTGTAAACGCTTAAATAAATACAAAATTATTCTTCCAAAAGAAAATTAAAACATTATACATTTTAATAAATTTAAACCAGTTTGTCCTGAACATTTACACCTATTTCAGAATCTGAAAATTCAAAATTATTGACCACTTTATATGACAAAAAATATGTGATTGATTACAGACATTTTGAGCAAGCCATTAGTTAGGTTTTAAGGCTTGTAAAAATTCGTAGGTGTCTGGAGTTTAAGCAACAAAGTGGTAAAAGAATATATAGATTTAAATACTAATTTACGGAAAGAAAGTCGAAACGATTTCGAAAAAAATTTTTATAAATTAATGAACAATGTAAAAAAATATCATGAAGTCAAATTAGTAACTAACTGGTTAGGAAGGTTTGGAGCAAATTACTACGTCTCACAACCTAATTTCCACAGTTCTATTATAATTGACAATAATATAGTGTTAATAGAAATGAAAAAAGACATTTCAAAATATTTTTGTATGATTTCCATTATATAACCACTTTTTAATCCGTTCACCGTGTCAATGTTCCGCGTTGACAAAAAAACATCAAGATTCCATGATCTGGACTGGGATCTGGGTACGATTAGTTATACAAGCGTACGGAATTTTATATTATCTAACATTAATCGAAATACAACAGTATACACCAAAGGACTAGAAAAAAGTGCATGGATAGAGAATATGTTGATGAATAAAGTCTGTGTTAACCTCATCGGTCAAACGTTAACATTTAGAAAGCTGGAAGAGCATTTTCCAGGTACAGGACGTTGCGAAAAACATTTCATGACGTGTACACTGCACAACGTTTTTTCAATTTATAAATACTTGCGATTCGGAATACAACAAATCGAATAAAAATATAAACGAAAGAATAGGTAAAAAGAAAAAAAATAATTCAATACATACAAAAATATTTTTGTATGATTTCCATTATACAAAAATTTGGACAAAATGGAAAATTATTGTACACTGATACTGATAGTCCAATTTATCTTTTTTTTTGTTGATGATACATACAAATACATCAAGGAAAATATTAAGAAGTTTGATACTTCCGAGTATCCTTCTAATAATACTTACCAAATTCCATTAGCGAACAAAAAAGTTTTATGGATAATGAAAGATGAAAATAATGGTGCTATAATGACCGAATTTGTCAAATTACATTAAAAAATGCACCTTCAGAGATTATTAACTGCTCCTCAGGAAAAGGATGTACAAATTCAAAAGATGTATGATAAACAATTCACACAAATAGAAATTGAAAATGTCCTCTCAAATTTTGGAGTGACCAAAAAGGCTAAAGGAGTTCAGACGTCGGAAATTACATTTGATTCAATAATCTCAAATTCTATAAGAATTGAAAATGATGATGTTTACATAGCCGAGCAAAATAAACTTGCACTGAATCCTCATGATAACAAACGCATGGTGAATTAGTTAAATACAGACACATTGTCATGGGGCTGTCATGATAAAGTTGGTTTCTTTCGATAAAGTTAAAGATAAAACTTTTTTTGTCTAAACATAATCTACTTCATGCAATCTCAATTTTGTTGCTTGAAAAACAAAACATTGATTGGTAAAGAAACTGATTTTTTTTTAATATTTCAACTGAGTAGGTATATTTATATATTTTCAGTCTAAAACTGTCACGTTTGTAAGCAAACCTTTGCATCAATGTAACTTCTTACAAACGCCTGTAAACGACGAGGTTGTGTTCCAAGAAATTGAGGCAAAACTTCAAGCGTTCCAAAATCAGGGTAGAAGATGTTTTGTGGATATTTTTAGGTAAAATGAGAGAATGTGTCGTGTGGCATTGTTTTTATGCTCCACCACAAATCAATTTGAAGTAATTATGGACGAGATGGCAGATCTTACTGTTTCAATCAATGCCAATGCTAGCATGTTACGTGTTATAAAGCATATAACTAGATCTAATTTTAGTTAATGGGGTAGGTATGTTAAAGTTTATTTAAGTGTTTAAATTAATGGGGGGAGGTCTTTTTTTCAGTAGCGGGATTCATGTATAATCCGCACCAAAGGACCTCAAAGCAATTTCGATTTGTGAATTTTTGTTTTGTGATGAAAGTTTAAAAACTAGTGACGATGATGACAAATATTACAGAAAAAGCTTCAAAAATTAAATTAATTAGAGAAAAACTTAAGCGTAGCTATATTTTCACAAGTGAAATGCGTAACATTAATAGTGTACTGTTTAGTGCAAAGTTAAGTGCTTGTGATATAAGTAGGCTAATAGAAAAAACAGTGCTACCTAATAGGGTTAAGAAAGTTTTAAGAAAGGAATATAATCTTCCGGATCACACTGAAAGTGATTATGATTCAGAAGAAACAGTAGCTAATGATTAATTTTTAAGTTTGTTTATTTGTTAATTAATATAAGATCATTTATGTACTTGTTTTTAACTATAAAGAATAATCCCCTCAAAGAGATTATGTTGCTTTCTGGTGTGGCATCCGCCCGGTTTCTACACTTCACAATTTTACGAGCATTAATCACATTCGCTAGGTAATCAAAATCACATGTGTTGAATTGACGAATCGACGACTCGGCGTAGCCGGTTCGAATCACTACGAAAGCAGTCTGAATTTTTTTCACGCCAAAGAAAATAATTTACCTACGATTGGATAAAAAAAATGTCACAATATTAAAATTAGGGTTTTTTACCTTTTTTCAAAACACCTCAAAAACACCTGTGATTACATCTGCGACTACTTCCTTTACCTGGAGGGGCCACGCTCTAACTTCAGAACCCTCTGGTCGTTGCTGGTCACGACTTGTAGAAGTGGCCTTGAAAGACCATCGGCGATCGGCACTTCTTCAGGACAAGAATGACCTTCCAAGGTCATGGACAGAGGACATGCTATCGAGGTGTCATGGAAACTCCAAACCAACAACAACAAAAGAAACGGCTGTCATCAATTAGAAAAAAGTCGAAGACTAAATCCAAAACGTCGAGCATGTTAGAGAAGTTTAATCTACTGGAGCCTTCGCATGGTTAAATTTATCGACGATGAAAAAGAACAATCTCTATTTGATTACGGACATGAGACGGCATACAACAAAGTACGGCGAAAGATTAATGGTGAAACTGGATAACATAAACAAGGTGTATCTCCCGCAACATTTTCATTCTTTGACAGATCGACAAATTACCGTGTTGGGTGTTGAAAAATATGTGTTGTTAAACAGGGGCGCAAAAGGTCAAAGTTTTATACTAGAAGTAATATTAAAAACAGAATAAATCTCATCGAAGAATTATCGGCACCAACACAACAACAACCATGATCATGAACTAGAGAAAAATCATGAACGATAGTTCTACCAAAATCTGTGGAAATTATACTACCGTCACCATCAACAGGTCAGGTGACGGTAATTGATAATGAAGATGAAGAAACCGTTGATCCAAACTCAGCGGTATTAAACTTTTACTCGTAAAAACCTTGCCTGTGTTTGTAGAAGAACGAAAACCAATGCAAGTAATTTTATATATTATTATATTCTTAAATATGTTTATAGTAATATTTTTTTAATTTTCTTTTCAGTTATAATTCTATTAAGTCAACCACATGTATCCGATCGGTCGGTGACTTCATCAAACGACCAAGGACACTTGCTATCGTGCCATCGATACTTGGACAACTTCATTTGTTGAAAACGAAGAAATTCTTCTTTGTGTTCGTGCAGGATTTGATCTCCGTACATCATTAGAAAATTTTCAGCGTTCATCATCGCATAATTTCACGAAGATTTATATCGACGACTAATAAATACATGTGGTGAACTTAAAGTATTTAAATATTATTATAAAGATTTCTCATTTGTATAAAAATTATCAGCGTCTCTATCTTTTTTATTTCTCTTTTTTTTTCGTCTTACACTAATCAAATTTAAATAAATGCTATCTCACTGTCAGCAGCACTTATAGAATCATGGTGTTATAGCCGTTCTTGTTTTTGACGTTTTGAAGCAAATTGTTGCAGTGTAACCCTCCCCTACAGATAAATTTCTGCTGATCACGTAATTTTAATAATAATCTTGTGCTGACAGCGTGATCTATTTTTTAAATGCTATTCAAAAACAAATTTCCACTGACTGTTAATTTTTTTGCTAACGTTGCTAAAGGCATGTTGGACCGCCAATGGTGGGAGAGAAAAATACGTTTCTCTTCAGTATAAATTAGTGTTCCGAGTTCATCACAGCCATCATCTTTAGCACCCACACGGTACCAAAAACCTTCGCAGCAGCAGTACCGGTCACAGTGTATGTACCAACAACTATTATTATCTATTTATTTTTTATATTATTATTATAGTAATACAATGAGTCAGAGCCTGAAGAATATTGATGTCCTTACCAGCGAGATCATTGACAAAATTGAATTGGTGAGTAGATTAGTTAAAACAAAAGAAGAAGATAAAAAAATATTCAGTATTTGAAAAGAACTATTTCAGTGGTAAAGAATTGTATTAAAATTAAATGCAAATAGGTTTTCAAAAGTCCAATCAAATTTAACCATATTAAAAAATTATGATGGAAATTGCAAACTCAAATTAAATACGGCAAAGAATGGAAAGCCAAAAAATGTACTTTGGCAAGACATTGATTATTGTTTTAGTGGTAGAATTAAACCTGGAATTATAAGAAATTTAAAAATTAAAGATCCAAAAGAATTTGTAACAAAATCATTTAGAAGCTTTTCGATAAAAATTAGAAGAGAACTAAACAACTCTTCGTTGAAAGCGAATGTAGTTTTTGCTGAGTTATTTATAAACCCCAAACGGCTGAAACTTTTTAAAATTTTTTTCAACAAAAACCGACTAATAGATCATGATATCAATCTAAAAGATTGGCATAAAACATATGTTATTTACAAAATGCTAACAAAATTGAAGGTATCAATATTTTGTAAAAAACGAAATTTTACCATTATCATTTAGTAAAAGAGATTTTTCACCTCAAATTAACTTATTGATATGAGGAACGTATCAGTGGTGGATTAGTAGTAGTTGTAGTAGTGATAACGAAATAGATTGAGGTGGTTATGATGAAAATCATATTAGTAAGTACAATTCAAATAAAACTTTATCATTATGCCTAGGTATAAAATTGTACTGTGAAATATGTTTAAATCATTTTAATACTCAATCTATCTTAGGCAAGCATTTAGTTAACTGTAAACCCTTAAATAAATAAAAAATTATTCTTCCAAAAGAAAATTAAAACATTATACATTTTAATAAATTTAAACCAGTTTGTCCTGAACATTTACACCTATTTCAGAATCTGAAAATTCAAAATTATTGACTACTTTATATGACAAAAAATATGTGATTGATTACAGACATTTTGAGCAAGCCATTAGCTGGGTTTTAAGACTTGTAAAAATTCATAGGTGTCTGAAGTTTAAGCAATCAAAGTGGGTAAAAGAATATATAGATTTAAATACTAATTTACGGAAAGAAAGTCGAAACGATTTCGAAAAGAATTTTTATAAATTAATAAACAATGTAAAAAAAATATCATGAAGGCAAATTAGTAACTAACTGGTTAGGAAGGTTTGGAGCAAATTACTACGTCTCACAACCTAATTTCCACACTTGTATTATAATTGACAAAAATATAGTGTTAATAGAAATGAAAAAATGAAAAGTTAACTTTAACAAACCCATTTAAAAGGGTATGTGTATTAGACATTTCAAAATATTTTTGTATGATTTCCATTATATAACCATTTTTTAATCCGTTCACCTTGTCAATTTTCCGCGTTGACAAAAAAACATCAAGAAACCGTCGAGTATTGTACTAGAAATTTCCATGATCTGGACTGGGATCTGGGTACGATTAGTTATACAAGCGTACGGAATTTTATATTATCTAACATTAATCGAAATACAACAGTATACACCAAAGGACTAGAAAAAAGTGCGTGGATATAGAACATGTTGATGAATAAAGTGTGTGTTACCCTCATCGGTCAAACGTTAACATTTAGAAAGCTGGAAGAGCATTTTCCAGGTACAGGACGTTGCGAAAAACATTTCATGACGTGTACACTGCACAACGTTTTTTCAATTTATAAATACTTGGATTCGGAATACAACAAATCGAGTAAAAATATAAACGAAATAATAGGTAAAAAGAAAAAAATAATTCAATACATACAAAAATATTTTTGTATGATTTCCATTATACAAAAATTTGGACAAAATGGAAAATTATTGTACACTGATACTGATAGTCCAATTTATCTTTTTTTTTTGTTGATGATACATACAAATACATCAAGGAAAATATTAAGAAGTTTGATACTTCCGAGTATTCTTCTAATAATACTTACCAAATTCCATTAGCGAACAAAAAAGTTTTATGGTTAATGAAAGATGAAAATAATGGTGATATAATGACCGAACTTGTCGGATTACCTTAAAAAATGCACCTTCAGAGATTATTAACTACACCTCAGGAAAAGGATTTACAAAGTCAAAAGATGTATGATAAACAATTCACACAAATAGAAATTGAAAATGTCCTCTCAAATTTTGGAGTGACCAAAAAGGCTAAAGGAGTTCAGACGTCGGAAATTACATTTGATTCAATAATCTCAAATTCTATAAGAATTGAAAATCATGATGTTTACATAGCCGAGCAAAATAAACTTGTACTGAATCCTCATGATAACAAACGCATGGTGAATTAGTTAAATACAGACACATTGTCATGGGTCTGTCATGATGAAGTTCGTTTCTTTCAATAAAGTTAAAGATAAAACTTTATTTGTCGGAACATAATCTACTTCATGCAATCTCAATTTTGTTGCTTGAAAAACAAAACATTGATTGGTAAAGAAACTGATTTTTTTAAATATTTTAACTGAGTATATTTATATATTTTCAGTCTAAAACTGTCACGTTTGTAAGCAAACCTTTGCATCAATGTAACTTCTTACAACCGCCTGTAAACGACGAGGTTGTGCTCCAAGAAATTGAGGCAAAACTTCAAGCCTTCCAAAATAAGGGTAGAAGATGTTTTGTGGATGGAGGCTACACAGCATTTTTGTTAAAACCTACATCGCCTTATGACCATGTAGACCTAGTTGTTGAAGGCTACAAATAGACGAACAACTTAAAGAAGATTATAACATGTTTAAATATGAAAGTTTTTACCACTGTCGTGATAATATAAGATTCAACATCATATTTTTGGGTAAAATGACAGAATGTGACTGGAAAACTTTTATATCAGAATGTATCACTGAATTTGGTCTGCCGATGTCGTGTGGCATTGTTTTTATGCTCCACCACAAATCAATTTGAAGTAATTATGGACGAGATGGCAGATCTTACTGTTTCAATCAATGCCAATGCTAGCATGTTACGTGTTATAAAGCATATAACTAGATCTAATTTTAATTAATGGGGTAGGTATGTTAAAGTTTATTTAAGTGTTTAAATTAATGGGGGAGGACTTTTTTTCAGTAGCGGGATTCATGTATAATCCGCACCAAAGGACCTCAAAGCAATTTCCATTTGTAAAGTTTTGTTTTGTGATGAAAGTTTAAAAACTAGTGACGATGATGACAAATATTACAGAAAAAGCTTCAAAAATTAAATTAATTAAAGAAAAACTTAAGCGTAGCTATATTTTCACAAGTAAATTGCGTAACAACAATAGTGTACTGTTTAGTGCAAAGTTAAGTGCTTGTGATATAAGTAGGCTAATAGAAAAAACAGTGCTACCTAATAGGGTTAAGAAAGTTTTAAGAAAGGAATATAATCTTCCGGATCACACTGAAGAGAGTGATTATGATTCAGAAGAAACAGTAGCTAATGATTAATTTTTAAGTTTGTTTATTTGTTAATTAATATAAGATCATTTATGTACTTGTTTTTAACTACATATAAAGAATAATCCCCTCAAAGAGATTATGTTGCTTTCTGGTGTGGCATCCGCCCGGTTTCTACACTTCACAATTTTACGAGCATTAATCACATTCGCTAGGTAATCAAAATCACATGTGTTGAATTGACGAATCGACGACTCGGCGTAGTCGGCTCGAATCACTACGAAAGCAATCTGAATTTTTTTCACGCCAAAGAAAATAATTTACCTACGATTGGATAAAAAAAATGTCACAAAATTAAAATTAGGGTTTTTTACCTTTTTTCAAAACACCTCAAAAACACCTGTGATTACACCTGCGATTCCTTACTTTACCTGAACGGGCCACGGTCTAACTTCAGAACCCTCTGGTCATTGCTGATCACCACTTGTAGAAGTGGCCTTGAAAGACTCTCGGGGATCGGCACTTCTTCAGCACAAGAATGACCTTGCAAGGTCATAGACAGAGGACATGCTATCGAGGTGTCATGGAAACCCCAAACCAACAACAACAAAAGAAACGGCTGTCATCAATTAGAAAAAAGTCGAAGACCAAATCCAAAACGTCGAGCATGTTAGAGAAGTTTAATCTACTGGAGCCTTCGCATGGTTAAATTTATCGACGATGAAAAAGAACAATCTCTATTTGATTACGGACATGAGACGGCATACAACAAAGTACGGCGAAAGATTAATGGTGAAACTGGATAACATAAACAAGGTGTATCTTCCGCAACATTTTCATTCTTTGACAGATCGACAAGTTACCGTGTTGGGTGTTGGAAAATATGTGTTGTTAAACAGGGGCGCAAAAGGTCAAAATTTTATACTAGAAGCAATATTAAAAATGGAATTCGACAGAATAAGTCTCATCGAAGAATTATCGGAACCACCATAACAACAACCATGATCATGAACTACAGAAAAATCATGAACGATAGTTCTACCAAAATCTGTGGAAATTATACTATCATCACCATCAACAGGTCAGGTGACGGTAATTGATAATGAAGATGAAGAAACCGTTGATCCAAACTCAGCGGTATTAAACTTTTACTCGCAAAAACCTTGCCTGGGTACTAATACATGTGGTGACCTTAAAGTATTTAAATATTATTATAAAGATTTCTCATTTGTATAAAAATTATGAGCGTCTCTATCTTTTTTATTTCTCTTTTTTTTTCGTCTTACACTAATCAAATTTAAATAAATGCTATCTCACTGTCATTTGCTATATCTTTTTTCCTTTTCAGTGCCTTAATCCTGCGACAGCACCCCCACCACTGCTGAGGGGGCATGTCTTAGAGGCAAAGCAATACCCCACCACCACGAAACACGCCTCCTGACTGGAGAGACGCCCCGTGCCTGACACGCCCAGCGTGCCCAAATTGAGCCAGAACATACATAAACATACTATAATACTCACATGTATTCGATTCGTCTGTGACTTCATCAAACGACCAAGGACAGTAGTAGATACGTGCAGTGCATACTTAGACAAATTCATTTCTTGGAAACGAAGAAATTCTTCTGTGTTCGTGCGAGATTTTATCTCTGTACATTATTTGAAAATTTTCAACGTTGATCATTACTATTTCACGAAGATTTATATCAACGACTAATACATGTGGTGTAATTACAAGTATTTAAACATTCGTTTAAATAAAAGTTAAATTACATCTATTTTTTATGTTTTTTTTCATCTTAATTAATCAAATGTAAATAAATACTATCATTTTTATTTTTTATCCCTCTTTTCTTTTTCCTCCAGCATTAAGCGGGCATGCCTTAATGCAGTAACAACACCCCGTCGCAGCTGAGGGGGCGTGCCTTAGTGACGAAACAACATCCCACCAGAGATATCAAGATAAGAGATTACTAATCAAATCAAACAACAAAACATCACACACATACACCAAATCTATACAAACCAAACCCACCGTACCTTCAACTTACGACAATAATATTTACATTTTTTTTAATGTAATGGAGTCTACAAAAAAGTGCGGATTCTCTACATCCACATCCTCATTCTAGGAGTTGTAATCAGAGAGGTGAAACCACGGCAGTATACATAACTTTTTCCATAGGCCCATCATTGTCGTTGAACTGATTAATGAACCGCTGACACATCTCTTGTCTTTGAAGCAGGTCTGTAGGAAGCATTCATTGATTACCTATAAGCGGTAAGGATATAACTGCAAGTCGTTTTAAGAATTCGGGTACAGGTACCGTAAGATAGTTCTAATTCTTGGTGTAGGTATCGTACCGAAGTCTGTGGACGTTCTTCCATTACTTGTCGCAGCTTTTCAATAGTTTCTTCATTTCTTAATTTTGGCCTACCGCTGCCTTTTCTACGACTCACACCTCCTGTTTCCCTAAATTAGTCTATCAAACGACGTACAAATCCGCCGAAAACATCACAAAACAGCTTATTTGTACGCATCTCTTAAAGAACAAATCGATTCACCATTGAGTTTTCTGGCATTTCTTAATTAAATTTCAACATTGTCTCATATTGTTTTCCTACTAGTTCGGCAAATACGAAAGCCATTATTTATTGATGACTGAGCAAAAATGACAGTTTGATTCAACTCCTGAATTATGCTGCCTATATTTCCTTTGTCCATCGCCTAATCGGAAGACAAATTTTGCGGCTCACGGGTTATAATAATGAAAACGAAAGATGGAAATTATCAACATGCGATAGTAAAATGCCCATGGACTTGAAGCAGTTGGATTTTAAAATAGGGAATCATTTCAAGTGGTTAGGGGTCATGAAACGTCGAGAAAACATGAAAGTGGCAAGACGCCCGATGGACTCAATTACTATACAGGACGATTATTTTAAAATGTGTGTCTATTCCCCTGTACTTCCTAAGCGTCAGTTAAGTAAAAAATTGGTCTAAATTTATTTCGACAGAACTTCCCTCGCTTCTTTGAAAAATGATAAAATTAGGTTTTGCTATGTTTGTTTTAAGATAACCTCTATGAAGTAAAAACCGGTGGCATAAACAACATTCTCGCAGCCCCTGCACCATCGCAAATTGTAAGGGACTATGCAAATTGCTTGTTTATGCATCGGAAGAATGACACGTAGAAATTTGTTTTGATTTTAATTATTGGTGGGGATGATTAGCAAAATTTTGGATAGCATTTAACCATCTACATGATATTTCTAATATACATACAAAATTCGGCAACCTTCGGTCTAGCAGTTTCGGAGATTACGTGTCTAATAAAAAAGGATACAGACACCAGACAACAGACAGACGGAAACGGAAGTACTGTAGGAATCATGAAACGTCGAGAAAATATAAAAGTGACCATTCGTCCAATGGACTCGATTACTATATTTCCTTTGCTTACACACGGGCAGTAAAAAGTAACAATAAAAAGAAGATGGAAAATAGCGACGCTTTTCGTTAATTTAGGTAATTTTTGTATCTAATTAATGCTGTGTTAATATAACATATGTAAATTAGGTGGCGATATTACGGGATTAAAGAGCCATGAAGGGTGGGGCTATATGAAAGTAGCTGAAGCCTACCTACATAGAAAAATCTTTTGAGGAAAAGATAAAAATTGCCAAAAGAGTTTTTGGCAGTGAAGTTAGGCAGTTAAGCAAGGATTCAAGGATACCTTAACCCAGCACGTCTGCTGCTAGCGATAAGTCAATTATAATAATTGTACCTTTAGTTTTTATAATTAATAAATAAAAATTTCACTTGGTGTTCGATGTTTTATGAACTCATAAGGTACGTTGCTAGGGGCAGCATGCTTTAAGTCGAATGGCGTGCGTGAAACAGTTTAAAAATCACTCCTGCAGAAAAACATGTAAAAAAAAGATGTTAAAAAATGTTTGATTTAGAACAGGAAGTGTTATAAATTTAAATATAAGGACCTCATACGAATTCGGACAATTGGATTATTGAAAGAGATTGTTCTATAGATATTAAGAATACAGTTCAACAATTGCATTTCTTCAGCATCAGGAACTGTTATTAATTAATTAAGATAGTTTAAACATGTTTTCTTTTCTGTACAAAACGTAATCAAAATATAAAAACTTCGATTAAGCATTATGCATTTCATTTAAATATATCACTATCTTTAATGAGATAATTTTAAATAAAAATGTAGTTTAGTTCATTTCGGTCACGACCCATATGAAATAATTTAAAATGAAAGTTCATTTAGCTGATACCCTTTATCTTATCAACTTACTTAATATAGAAACATAAATAGGAAAATTTTGCAATTATCATGAAAAATATTTACGTTATGAGTACAATATTAACAGAATAAATAATCGGACAACAACACAATTACAATTTAATTTTAAATATTATATGTCTATATTTTTTTATGAAATTTTGTTAGTCAGTAGGGGCAAAAATTTTTACTCAACCTTTAGTTATCAATGATTAGCAGAGAAACATTGGTCACTGTTCAAGCAGCTAAAATACTACTACTTGTCCCCTATAGGAGAAGACCGATGTTCTCTCTGAATTTTCCCAACACTTGATTCAAACGTATTCTGGTTAACCATTAAGAGTTGATTGCTACAGCAAAATCTTGAAAAACGTCGCTCTGACTCAACGAGTTTTTGGATAAATCGTTAAAACCCACCGTTTCTTAGTTTTGAAACGTCAAGGAGAATTATGTGCCATTCTTTTCAGTTATTTGAGGATAGAATTATTAAAAGAAATGTTATTGGCGAATTTTATATTGCTAATACAAGTAAGGGCAAAACTTACGTCGTAAATCTTTTTTTTTTTGTGAAAATATCAACCAGGGTTTGGTCGAAAAACTCGAAAAATACGAACATTTAAAAAAGGTTATAAAAAAACATCAAATTAGCAAAGAAACATTGGTCACGGTACAAGTAGCTAAACAACTACTACTTGTCCCCTATAGGAGAAGACCGATGTTCTATGCAGTCTGCTATCACTTATTTTTTTCTAATTTTTTTTTTTATTTATCAGTTTACCTCATCATGTTTGTAAACAAGTAAGTCGTTTACTGTGTAGTGTTTTTTTTTTTATTGTATTAAATAAAATAACAAAATGGCAATGAGCGGATGCAGGGGTTCAAACTCGATTCAGAAACTGTACTTACTAACTATTCTACAAGGAAAACGAGTACTATCGATTTTTTAACAAATCTGGGCATTGGTTGACGAATAACTTTCACGAATTGTCGTGGACGGTCGCTTAAAAGTGTGTAAACTTTCATATTAACAAACTTAGACGGAAAGTCCACAGTTTTAGTGAAAAGACACGAAAAGGCACGATGGCTGGAAGAATTTTTGTTAGGCACGTGTTTGTAGACGCGATTGGTGGTACAGTGAAGTTTAATCAACTGAAAAATTGGGTTTTGAATCTTAAACGTTGTTCAGAACACTCTTAAAGCGTGTTGTGTCGAAAAACGCACTGGCGATATTTCAGGTACAAGTGAAGAAGTGTTAGATAAATCAAGTACTGACCCAAGAAGACAATATATAATATTTTGAAATATATCTAAAATCTATTTACCTAAAATTGTTTTAGAATTTGTGTTATTTTTGTTAATTTTGTATTTATTAATGTCAGCGTACCAAATAAAGGTCAGATGGCTGTTAAAGTCTGATAAGATAATAAGCGATGACCGAAGAATCACATTCCATATTAGTGGCTGGTAAATTCCGGAGCTTGTAGATAATTAATTAATTTACCAATAACTTCCTTCTTTTAATTTAACATCCCATCTTGTTGATAAAGAAAATAAACTTTGCATCAAAAAGAAACTTACCAGCATGATAACAAAGAACCCAATGAGCAATGATGAAACCGAAGAAGCGATACAAAAAAAAATCTTAACGCAAACTACCGACTTGAGTTCATTTTAGTATAAAACACATCTAAACCCAGCTTCATGTTTTCACCATGCTGGAAACCGTGAAACACTTCGCAGTGGTACACTTTCACACTCTGGTGTTCTGGTGTGTTCTAAACACTAGCGCTCCGTATTTAAAGACTGTTAGGAACTGCGCAGAAATGTGGATTCATTTTTAATAAATTCGACTATCTATTCGGGGTTATCAGGTTATCACAGAGTGCTAGAAACCATTAATAGACTAATAAAACGAACCACGGAAAATTTCAACTCAGGTCATAACACGAGATCCGTATTTCAGTTTCCCGTGTAATTATTATGGGCGAAATCGAGGCATTTTAGGGCCTAAATTCTACAAGATGATTTTTATAAATTTTCAAATAAGTATCTCGAAAAATAAGCGTTCTAAAAAAAAATTTAATTATTCTATGGGGGAACTGCTTTAGTGCAAAAAACTAGTCCC